TACAGGGGAAGAATAATGTTCATATCGAACAGTGAAGAGTGTTATTTGACTATTCAAATGTACAATAACATTGTTGTAATGGCAATTTCGTTGTTCCAATATCCTATATCTTTTTTGCCATTACTTTCACATGAGAATGAGTGATCCAGACGCAGTAACAAACAGATGATTTCCGGTCTTGAGTACAGTTCAGAATGATGTTTATTGATGGTTTATATTACCAATTAATCACAGAGTGAATGGTTGTATCTTGAGCATCTGCCGGGCTGGTTGAATCGGTATGCTCTTCCTCCTGTGTCCTCGCTCTTCCGGTCACCTATGACCCCTTTTATACACCCGGTGCAGCTAACCCCCCGCCACCAAGTGTTCAAAATCGTATTGCACTATAAATATAAATTAAATAAACTGACATGCCAACAACACCCATAAAATGGCTCCTACAACAGTCTTTTATCAGAGCAGGGTGTGAAAAAGGAAGTGTCAAAATTCTACACTCATGTGTGTGCTTGCCCTTATTTCCAGTTGTTTGCAGCTAATCTGGGGCCATATTTTCCATTAAAAACACATTTAAAAAATCAAGCAAAGGAATGCTGTAAACATCTGCAAACAACATGAAATGTGTAGTTTACTTCTAACTTTTGCATACTTAAGCAACCCAGCAAGGGTTAGTTACGTACAGTGGTGTGAAATCAAGACAATCTGAATGTGAACTTGGCGCACACAAGAAACAAAGGGAGAGCCTGCAGTACCGTTCTGATTAAAGACCATGAGACTTAACTGCCTAATCATCTACGAATGCTTTGTAATGAAGTGTTTTGGTAAATTATGTTTTAAATATTCATATCTCATTTTACTTATTGAGATATTATCAAATTAACTGTTGCAAAGAAATTAAAGTGTGAAATGTTTAATCAGCTCAAGTCAACATCTCCAAATCAGTGCTCTGCTATAATTTAATTAAACTAAATGCATTAAATACAATTGAATTACATTTGTATTTAGTCCTCTAATATACAGTTTTCCACTTCTCCCTTATTAACAGGATGTTGAAATAAAGTAAACATACTTACATTGCATTATATGATTGTACTGCATAAGGAATAGATGTAAAAGCCAAATAGGCCATTATGCAAATATCACAATGATGTATTGCCATGATCCTTGCAAAAAAGAAGTGCTTTTTATTGTGTGATGATTATTGCTATAAACCTTATATGTGTTTACTATACTTATTAGAAAACACAGTGATACAAGCAGGTAATAATGCACTATGGATTGAGCATCATATAAAGCGTTAGGGATAATTCAATTAGACAGAATCAAATAAGTTGAATGTTTTAAATGCATGTGGCTGAATCATTTCTGTTTTCTTTTCTCAGAGTTTTTCATCGATGGCCTGGGATCTCTCCACGTCGGCTCTTGTGATGATGTCATTGTCAATCATGCCACCAAAATCAAACTTCCCTGGACGAGCCAATCAGAGAGCGACAAGACTTACGCCAAGTTTCGCTACCCGCCGGCCTCCTCTGACGCCACACACACGAAAAACGGCCTGCTGTTCTTCAAGAACCGATTTCAGTGTTTGACTCATAATTAGTGTCTCTGTTCTTCAGCCTGAGGGCTCCTCTGCTCTTCATGAGTTGCCAAAGAAGTTCTCCTCCCCCGCCACGCCCCGACAGACAAGATTTAGACACACTTTTGGTTTGATTTTTACTTAACAACCTTTATTAGAAGTGTTAGGATTCAACATAGAGAAACAGTCAGTGCTAAAATATCCTCATCCACAGTATATATTAAAGACACAGATATCAAAAGGCTGTCTAGACAGTCACCTGTAGAAACAAACATAATCATCTTGTTTTCCCAGACCCAGTTCATCATCTTATTTCATTTGATTTGGCTTTACATTCTCGAGCTGTTCTGACACAGAGACCGAGCTTTGGGGAAACCTGGCCGGTAGCAAATTCCCAGACTGAGTCCCTTCATTGTCATTCTAGGCTAATGAGCAGAGCAGAGCTACGTGGCCTCCTTCAATTTGCACTATCAACAAAAAAAAGACTGAGCTTGAGAAAAGCAATGGACGTTTGAGGATGACAGCAAAGGGACACTTGCCAGAAAGTGACAATCCTGTAGACACAGCACATACTGTAGGCATCCTTTCCACCAACGCCACATGAAGAATGCATTCAGAACTTCTCCGCCTGTGGTTTCTGCGCTCTGTCACTGACGGGTCCTGCCAAAGGTTGGGATGTTGGCTTGCGGGTGTTTTTATCTCATTGTGTTAAAGTTTTGCTAAGCCCCCTTTACCCAGAATCCTGTGTCATTTGTGAGCGATTAATTGCGTCTGAGGAGGAGAAACTTTCAGTCCCATCACCTATGGTGTCAGCTGATCTGCGAGCAGCCTTCTGTTGTGTGTTTTTGTCTTCTGCTGTCTGACACTCGACTAACATCTAAAGAAGAGGAGCGCTTCTGTCCGATGCACGTTGCTGAACGGCAAAGAAAGGAAATGCATCTTTACACGCTGCCTAAAAGAAAAAGTGCATGTTTATTTTTTCTTATTATAAGTGAAGAAAAGAAAAAAAAACAGCACATTGAGACAGAATTAATCAGCGTTTGGTGATAAATGAACATCTTGAAAGTATGTAGCCGGAGCATGAAAGTGAGACAAAGTCAAGGCGAGACGGAGAAGCTTGAAAATCCTGTTTTTATACTGACCCTTTGGAGAGTTACTGTTTGCCTCATGCCTGAAGGGATGTTGTTTTATACCATGGCCTTTAGATGGTGCCCTTGTATCACCTTATTGTTTCATAAGACCAATTAGTTTCGAAAAGTTATTTGTTATTAACAAAGAGGTGCCAGAGACTTATGCCTGATGTTTTTTTTTTTATCTGAAGATGAATATTTTAAAACAATTTTGAGTGATATTTATTTATTATTGATTTTTGTTTCTGAAGTTAGCTGTGTGTATGGGGAATCAAAGTGAAACTTCATCAGTGACAGTATTATTAAAGGTTTTTGTGTGATTGTGTGTTCAAAGATTTGTAATTGTCGGCAGATCTATAGCTGAGCTGAAAGCATTTTTTTGTGTGATATTAATTGTGTGAACACAGAAATGTAACTTGCCTGCTTCACCCAAAAACCACTGGTTGATTTGTCTGGTCACGTATTATGAGCATTTTTAAATTGATTTAGACTGTTGACATATTAAAATGTCTGTGGAAACGCCTCTTTTATTGCCCTAAATTATGTTGAGGGGTTGGGATGGGGGTCTACATTAAAGTCATAGGTTCGTTAAGGCATCCTTGTCCATCTCCAAATGTAGACACTTATTACTAAACCAAAACAAAAGCATTGATTGTTGTATTCCTGCCATCACCGTTCATCCTCTAATTGTTGGACTGGGACATATTTACAGGACTCAGTTAATATTCTACGTTTGTGATTTAAGTCAAAAGTAATATACTGTGTCTATACAGCAGTTGGCTCCTGCATCGTTTAGTCCTTCGTTTATATATTTGTTCATCACGGTCATTATTTTGTGAATATTTTTATAGAAAAGAGTAAGACAACTAAAGCAGAGGAAGCCACTTAAGGGTCAGTAAAAAATAAGAACAGGGTCAACGTTTAAATGTTGGTTGTTGTGAGGGAAGCATCTGAAAACACTGAGCCCAAATGGTGCTACTTGATACCTTTATACATACAGTATACGTTTGATACACAAGGATAGATGCCTCACAGGCAGAGGATGTGGGACCCAAGGAGTCAGGAGACTATGAGGTGAGGTGAAATGACTGAAACAAGTGGCAAACATCCCCAAAGAAATACAATAAATACAAATACATTCAAAACAATCAAAAACAAAGGTTTGGAGACCACTTACATCTCTGTGCCCTGCCCATTATCCAGCCATGGTCCGTCCATGTTGACCCACTGTATAATATAAAAAACATTTAAATGATATGAGAATTTAAGAAAAAAGGACAGAACATATTTCGTGTTGAGCCGTGCACAGAAGAGAGCAGACAAGGCGGAGGTGTTAAGAAAGTCAGTGTGCATGGGAAGCACACTCACACTGCTCCAAAGCACAGTGAGCCTTTGGGACGTGAGGTGTCAGAGTGAGACCACCAACCGCCACCGCGTGACCATAAAACTTTGTTTGTCATCACAACTGTCATTTCAACTTTCAAACAAACATTCATGATATAAAAGAGGATGATGATAGATTAAAGAGTAACTAATTTATAGAAAAAAGCATGAGCATCTTCAATCTCTCCACTAGAGGACGCTTTAGCAACAGTTCGCTGTTCTTAATCTGATAATGTGTAAATCTTTGATTATAGCTTGTATGTTGGAATAAAGAGTCCTTTGTAAAAAAAAGAATTGGAAATTCAAAAAATAGATCAGCAGGCTCTAATCTCTATGTAAATACAAATCATGGTTTCCTGCAGAATATTCCACAAGTCACATCGCAGTAGAATTAATTCCCCCAAAATGCATTTTCATGCACCCTGAACCAGAGCCTCTATTTGAGGCAATCTCTTATTGAATCGCAATAATAATAAAAAACATAACATAAACAGACGGAGAAAAAAGAGACCATAAAAAGATGCAAAATGATTACAAAGAAATGCAAAACAACACAAGACACAAAATGTTGCACGACTACAACACATTTTTAAACAGCTACCAAGAGAACCAAGAGATGCACAATGGCCACACAGCGAAATCTAATTACAAAAAAAACATAAAAGATGCAAAAAGCTGAGAAAAGATGCAAAACAACCAAATATATAACAGAAGTTACTTCAAAATACGTACCACAGTCTGGGGGTCTTGCTCCCATGTGCTGACAGAGGGTTGGGGGTCCCTCTAACATGTCTGAGCCCAGGGGCCAGTGGTCTCATTGTCTCAGTCATCCATGACTGTGTGACAAAGTGTTACTCTGAAATATCTTAACGTTTTTATAAAAATGATGGTGACAACAGCATTTCTCTTTCATCCCCTGTGTGTGTTGGGACAGCACAGAGGCTCTTTATTGATACGATCCCACATGAGATTATTTACATTCATGATGACAGTGACAGGTGAGCACCTGTTTTATCTTTGTTCCCCTTTTCCTCTTTCTGCTCGATTAGGACGGGTGCTTTGTGTAAGTTTGCAAATGTGTTTCGTTCAGATAACAGTTTAACAATGGCAGGGTTAAAATAGCCCACCAACGGGGAAAAAACAGCTATTTGCTAATCTGCAGGGAACCACAGAGATACAGACCTGATTCAGACCCCCGAGTGAAACCACAGTCTCTCAGTCACTTCAGGATGCAGAGTATGACAGAGTTAAGGGTTTTAAACTCTCAGGGGGAATTTTGTGGAATTGGTCCCTTGTGAAAATATTACAAAAAAATCCACCCATTAATTTTCAATGGAAAAAGTTAGAAATGTCTACATAGACAATATGATATACAGTCTCTGTAATGCTTCAAAACCATATTTTAACATCTCATCTGTTATCATCGCCTGTACATGTGTGTCCATGCAGAGTAAACACACGATCAAACCAACGTGTTATAGAAGAAGAAATCCAGGATAGCCAAAACCATGGTGGAGAAGAAAAATCGGAGAGTAATTGGGGATCAAATATGAGGAAGAGAAACAGTGAGACAAGCGTGAATCCAACGATGCTGCCTCAGCCGAGGGGCTCCTGCTCCAGAAAGGTGAAGTGAGTCTGTGTCACCGCAGGTCATCACTGCTCGCTCTCTGTCAGCTGACCCAGGTTGTTTGGTTGAGCACCCTCATTTAATGTAGCTGCCTGGACCCTGGCAGTCACACCCTGAGAGGAAAAAACAACCAATTAAACAGCAGTTGCATTTTATTTTGCATATTCTTTGTTAAAATGTGTGACACATTTGGATGGAAACCTGGCTTGTAGGTGAGCCTATCACATTACATCGAGCAATTGAATTGGTTTGTAGAAAAATATTGATTATTGCAGCTTATAAAAGATGTATAAGCTATACAAATGACTATTTTTGTGCTTCTCCAATGCTAATATAATACTAGTGGTTCACTAGACAAACTTCCAAGGTTTTGCTTGAATATCATTTGCACAGAAATACAATTTTGGAGTTGTCACATCCATATGGGTGGTTGTAGAATAAGCTTAACGTGAAACCTGTCTTTAAACTTGCTCTTAGAGCAGGATGGAAACAGCCTGAACACAAAGAGGACAAGAGCCAGATAAGCAATATGTGATCAAACCATTTCCTCCTCCTGGTGGAAGTCTGACTGAATAAGATAAAACAGCAGGTCAGTCAGTTTTCCATAAAGTTTATGACTGAATGACATTGGCTTAAGATTAGATGGACCTGGTTTGTAAAACCTTGCAGAAACAACAACAGGATATTTGACAAAGGCAACTGGAGAGTAATTTCCCCTCATCATTAGTGATTTATTTTATTTATTTAATCGATTATTTGGCAGGGACAATGCACAGTAATGAACACTTAAAACATTAAAATGTGTCAAGCGTAACAGTGCCAGATTTAGCTTTGAGCTCATTTCCATCCGTAGTCCCTCACATAAAACATTTAAGATATTAATTACATTTTACAAACATAGCAAAAACAAAATACATGATATGCAAGAGCAAGAGCAGCATACACAAGTATTTATCACATGGTAATACAATATAGCAGCAACGACATATCAAGTGCAAGAGCAGATACAAGAGCTACAAAAAGTGCAAGAGAAGATACCCCTGTGTTAAAGTGCATTTAGCGGTGATTGCACGATGGTTTGTTTCTCAACCATTCTTTGAGTGACTTTGTAGCTATTGAGACTGGGACAATCCCGTAACTCAGTTGGGAGGTTATTCCACAATGAGCTGCCTTTAATGGAGAGTACATTTAGTCCAAAAGTGGTCTGTCTACGGTGGACTTCACAGTCTCCTCTGGTTTCTGACCTAGTGCAGCATCCAGTGTGTTTTTGTGGATGAATTCCCCTGATCATGACAACAAACTGCCTTATGCCGCTGACATAGACAAATCAGCTCTATCTGGTCCAAACCTTTGTGTTCTGTGGATTATGAAGTGTACCTGCATGATGTGCTGGCTGCAGGGTGTCAGGCCATTGAACGTCCCATGGTCGAGGCTCACCTCTGTGCACAAACTGAGCTGCTGGTGGGAGCGAAGAGGAGGGAGAGCTGATCGATGGGTTGAAGCACAGGGACTAGAAAACTTAAGAGAGAATCAGAAATCAGAAAGAAAGTGGATGTCAGAGGAGGAGAAATGTATTAAAGGCTCTAGGGCAGGGGTGTCAAACTCAAGGCCCTTTGCAAGCTCTTGCCGGCCGGAATTTGGCCCGCGACTTCATTTTATGTCGCACGAGCTTGCAAAGAACATAATGAGTTTATTATACAGTTACATGCCACTTTACAGAAGCACGTTGTCCATAAACTACATTGGACACAATGCATCTCATTTTGTGACATGCACACTGAAGAGACTTGCAATTATTTGCCCTAGACTTCTGCTTCAGACGTCGTTAGTTATGAAGTTATTAACCTATTTGATAATAATCCAATGAGGCAATAATGTAATATAATACATTATTTGATATATATTATATATTCATATAGTCTTAAAGTTACAACCGGCCCTTTGAGTTCAACCATAATGCGAATGTGATCCGCGATGAAATTGAGTTTGACACCCCTGCTCTAGGGTGTAAAAACTGAGATTTCATGTCTTTTTCAATGTATCCTCACACAATGGTTCATACGTTATCTGAAAAGTGTTTCATGCGGTATCCTGTGAAAGTCCACAACAGTTTATTAAAGGGACAGGCATTAAAACTGATCATTAATACAGGTATTATCAGACAGACTGCGTGAGGAAATAATGTGTTTTTAACAATTAAGCATGTAAACAACTTTTGTATGAATGAACCTGAAGATGAGTATGATATTTCCCTTTTAATGTACATAAATGCTCCAGGGAAGCGTAGCAGCACACTCACCACCTTGGAGGCCGGGCTGTGGTGGGGGCGGTGCAGAGAGGGCAGGGAGGTGTTGTGGGTCAGCAGGCAGGGCAGCCGCCGGCGGTCCATGGACGCAGAGGAGTGAGGTCGCAGGCCGGGGGCTGAAGCAGTCGGAGACCTCATGTTCCTGCCGAGGCTGTTCGACTTGCTCTCCCTGCGCTGGTACTCGATTGGAGACTGAAGGGCTGCAGGAAGAGATGTCACATTAAAGGTCTCCTATTATACTGTTTTTAGGCATATATTATAGGTCTCAGATATATACAAATATGTGTGTTAGGTGTTTTGCTCAAAATACCAAACAGATCACGCATTCTAGCCCTGCCTCATACCCCTCTAATTCAGCCTTGTTAGAGAAGGGCTGATTCTAGGTCTAAAAGCTTTAACAAAAAAAGAAGGGGGGGGAGCTTATGCAGGAGAATTCTACCCAGATACTCAGCTAAATGCTGCCGTGATCAAATGCCACATCGTGTTCAAAACCACATCAAGGATTATTTCTGAAACAGTCTGGAGCTCAAATGCTTCTTCTCTTGCAGGTTTACTACAAGGTGAGTTTCTTTTTTTATTTCCTGCTTTTTTACACATGCTCTCTCCAGTACAGGTTAGCTCTGAGTGTTAGCATGCTTGCTAATGTAAACAAAGACCATACTTCCAAAACACGTCGGCATTGTTTCTGATAGTGAAGTTTCTGATCCGTGGGTGTAAAGCCAGCCCACATTTCTGATATTACGTCATATCGGATGCTGGATCAGTTCCGTTGTACCCCCGTTTTTAGAGATTTGGGTATGGAGGAAAAGAGAGAGGGTTTTGTTTTCTGACACTTTGTGAGTTCCCGTACACACCGGGGACACATATTTATATATAAAAGACATAAAAAAGTGCATTTTGCATGATAGGACACCTTTAAGGCAAACTCTTTCATCTCTAGTTTTATTGAAGGATCACTGAGCTCTGGTACCATTAAGGAAGTTCCTCTGAGTCTCTAAGATCTGAACCACGTCATCGAGCCAAGCTTGCTTTATTTCCAGAGATGATGCCTGCATGATGAAGCGCGTCACACTGCCATCAGTCCCGCGGGAGGTCAGCACCAGGGAGCACGGATCATTATCAGAGCAATCCTCTATGCCCAAACAGCTGACCTGAAGCACACAGGAGACTCGTTATACATGGAGAAAAAAACACTAAACTATGGATGAATTGAGGATGTTTTAAAAACACACGCACCTTGATGCTGTTTTTAAAAGTGTACCCAGGCAAAGACAAGCCCTTTTTCTTATCGATGGGCTCACTGAAGATGACCAGCTGCTCAAACAGGAAGACCCTCCTCTCCTTCCCTTTGGACGGGAAGGGGCTCTCCGGCTCGCTGACAGAGAACGTGTCCTGCTGGAGCAGCTTCCCCTGAGCCGTGATCTTCCCCTGGAACAGTGAGTTGGTCAGTAACAGACCTTGGATCAGCCTGCATGTGTTTCATCTGTGATGACGGACAGGAAATAACTTATCTGGTCTCACCTCAAAACCTTGGAGCCTGCCAACGTTCATCATATCATTACAGCGCTTTGGCACGAAACACATCACCTCCACGGCGCTCTGATGGAAGAAATGCAGGGGAATTAGTAAGTGAGAATAATATTTTGTGATTTGCAGACTGAGTATTATCTTACCCATGCAGCCAGTTTATTAAGCACATCTAGCTAAAGCTAATGCGGTTTATCAGTGTTCCTAATTGCTTCAAAAATGTTTACTGTTAGATTAGAAGAAATGTATATCTACTTCAACTTTTGATCAGTTTATGAGTGTTAATGAAAGCCTTATGAATTTCTAATAATTGTTCATAATAGCATTAAAATCAATGTTTAACTACTATATATTATCAGTTTTTTAAACCTTTGCTAAACCTTTTTGTCTCTTTCATTCAAATGGATTTATACTTAAAATGCATTCATTAGCCTAATAAAGGCTTTATTAACTCCAACACTGCATTATTTCTCACTTAAGATCCAGTAGATTCAAAAGTTCATTAACTGCTAAAACATGCAAATTAAAGTTTTTATTCATAGTAATAAAGAAAAAAAAGCTTGAAGGTTTTACAATCACATCATGCTTCACTTAGTTAAACTAATGACATGTGTTTATGATGATGCTATTATTAACACCATAATATATATCAACATAACTTGTAAGAATTGATAAGGGTCTCGTTATCTATTAATGAATGATTATTACAAGCCCCTTATTCAGGGTATATGCAGGAATCCTGAAGTCGAATTGAATACCTTTTAAGAGCCTTTCCATACATTTTAAGACCTCATCGCCACTTCGAGTTTTAACCGGTTACATTGGCGACACACATTACCTCACATTGACTATAGTATTGATTGTCCTTCCTCCTTATCTTCCAACCATTTGGACGCAAACTTGCATTTCCCCAAAACGATGTTGTTTAACAACCGGCGTAAACGGACCTTCGAACGCTATCAAGCAGTGGGCGTGCGATGTCCTGTTCAGATTATGTCAAATCCAACGGGATGCCATAAATAAACTACACAGAATCACACTACACACCTACGCAATGATTACATTCAGGTACACTGTAGAATACAACCTCTTTGGACAATTGATGTACTTATTGAAAACAAGCTACAAAATGTAATACCTTGGAAAATGCCGTTTAATACTTTTCAATAGCCTTAATTTTCGCTTAATTGATTTATCAACTTTTAATACTTTTTAAGACCCCGCGGACACCCTGTTATTATAACATGTTATCACACCTTCCTTTATAAAGGTTGTAATGTAAAGTGAACTGAACCAAATTGGCATGAAGGTAGGATTTATTGCAGGTCTCCTATTGCATATTAGGTTTAAGCTAGATGTGCATGAGGTGACTGTATTCACGTTCTGTAATGATCTCTTACCTCCAGCTCCTCAACATCCCGTCCTGCTTTGCTGTAGTACTTCAGGAAGTCCTGGGGTCAGAGAGTTTATTTAGAGTTTTTGTTATTTTCAAGAAAGTAAAAAGTGCCCTTATAATAAAACCCAAAGCAGGAAAGGCTACTTGGCATTCTAAAGATCCATTATTGTAGTGGCTACAAAATAGGACAAAGTGTATTGACTGCCACTAGGTCAGGTTCCTCAGAGTTCCTGGGAAGACCTTTGTATATCTTGTTGTTGGTGTGCCATGCATGCAGGTCATGTTAAACATCAAACCTTCAGCAGTAGCTGATACTTCATGATCCTCTGAACGGGTTTGATGAGCAGATCGTTGAGCTGCAGCCTGTGACCCAACTGCTGCCGGAGATCCTGTCAGGTGACCACAAAGATAGATAAGGTTTAAAGTAAAAAGTTCCCAAAGAGTTCCAGTAAAACTGACTGTGGTATATACAAGTAAACTCACCTCAAAGAAGTTCTCAATGTACTCGGAGACAACGTGCTCTGATTTGGGTTTGTTCTGACAGTAAACCACATACATGTGAAGACGCCGTTCCTGAAAGGTAAACAATTAAGAGAGGAAGAGCTCATATGGTGCAGCGAGAGAGTACACATTTGAGGTACTTTTATACATCTACTTCACTACATCTCAGAGGGATATGTCCTTCATTTTTGATCTATGCGCATTTATCTAGCAGCTTTAGATACTTTACAGATTACCGATTTGCTTCCCCTTCTTGGCCACTGAAAACATGCTGTGTTGGTTCTGGGTGTTAAAAAACCTGAAGGAGGAAGTGTACCTTTATGGGTTAAGGACATTTTCCAACTTCTTAGGCAGCTAGATAACATTTTTAAAAACCCTCTCTGACCAGCTGGAAAATGCATCATCACAAAGCTGAAAAAGGGCTGTTATCTGCCCACATCAAAAAAACACATGAGGACTTTATAGAATGTAATGCCACATTAGAATGAATCCAAACACACCCTATATTCACTTTGTAACAAAGATAGGGGAACGTTTACTGCACAGGTGATACTTTGAGAAAAGATTTGAGTTTGTTTGCTGATTATACTTACATAGGTTAAGGTTTTGAATGTAGGACTTTACTTCTAGTGGTGTATTTTAAAAGTGTGGTATTAATACTTTTAAGTTAAGGATCAAAATACTTGGTCCAACACAAGTGAGAAACGGATATAGAAATAATAATCCTGTGTGCTGTTTGGACTCCTCTCAGTTTTGTTGTACTCCAAATCTGCTCAAGAGTCTTTTTGGAGTTTTGTTAAACCAGTGCAGGACCTTTGCCTCATTAAATAGTTCCAGTGACTGAGGAAGAAAGGTTTAATTTGCTGTGGCTTAATTCTGCGTGCCACACTACACTGCTTGAAGCGGAAAGAGAAACTGAGCCAAATCAAAATATTTCCCCCATTATTCTCCAGAAGGAGATTTTTCTTTTGTAACAATACTGTTACTGATACTGTTATGTACTACCCTAGAGGTTGTTCATGGTTTCTGCATTGAACCCATGTGTGCAGTGTCTTTGAATTCAGCAGAAATTCTGTGTTGATGTTTGTAATTCCGTTGGAAATTCCATTTGCGGAGATCTGTTTCCACTGTGATATGAAATAGTAGGTTTCTCAAAGTTCAGTGTTAAACAACCACATATGGAAAACATTGAGGTGGTTGTGAATATTTGTATAGAGCTCTGAGATCTGTAATTCCAGCTCATTTTCACAAAAGGAGGCGTCTCTGAGGAGCATCTTTAACACTGAGGGCTTTGAGAGCTGATGAGACTGTTTATTCTGCAGCTGCACCTGCACACAGACTGATCTGCGGGATGAACACACATCTGGATGGTCGGGGGCCAAGGTTTCACACACAGTCAGATCTCTGATCTAAGCGATGGCCTTCAGCCAAATTGAAAACACGCCGAGAAATGAAACTTTTCATCCACACACACTAACACACTGATCTGTAGACTCACATGTTTGATGAAGAGCTTGGCCAGGCTGTCGGGATCACACACACATTTCTCCAGCTCTCCCAGGAAATAACTGTGTGACACGAAGCAGAGAGGGTGGAATCATCATCCACACACACTCCCACAACCACCTTGAAACATGAGGAGCTTAGGAGAAATATGTGTAAACTCTGTGATGGTACAAATTCAGAAGAACTAACAAGGGAGGGCAGAGGAGATGTCTCTGACTCTCTGACTCACTCTTTATGCCACTCGTAGATCTGATGGATGTTTCCAAACACAATCCGTTCCTTCCCTTTCAGATCCTCAGGGACTCCCTGTTTAGACATGCTGCCCATGTAGCCCTGTACACAAACACACACACGGACACTTTTCAATTGAATGAATTTAGTAAAAGTGTTGTACACAGATTATTTGACAGCTGGTGGAGAGACACACCTGCACGATGAGCCCGAGATCTTCCACATACAGCCTTTCTGTCTCTATCAGCTCTGCCAGCACATATCTGACGGATAGATTACGAAACAGCAAATACATCACAATAATAAAAAAGTACATTTTGGTTAAAAAAAGTGGTATTTGTCCAACATTTTGATAAATACGCTTATACAGTATGCTTTCTTTCTGATAGGGTTGATACCATTGTCATGTCTGAATTAAAAAAATAAACTATAGCAATGAGACAGTTAGTTAAGCTTAGCATTAAGACTGGTAACGGGTCAAACAACTGGCCTGGCTTTTCCTACTAAATTCAAATATGCCTACTACTACATGATGTTGTCAGTCTACCCTGAAATTAGTTAAGTGCTTTGTTCAAGAAATGTAAACACAACTTCAGCATACAGTTATGCATATGATGCTTTTCGTAAGGAAACACATAAGTGTAAAATGGTGGAGCTACTTCCTTAAAGTAGAGGTCACCTACATGCTCTTCTCTAAGGCAATGTTTCTCTCCTCCTCACTGTCCACTGCAGCCGACCACTGGCTGGACGAGTCGTCTGTCACAGTGCCGCCGTCTTCCCCTTGGAGAGAGTTCATGCTGGATCTTTGACTCTAAAACACACAAACATGGCAGCACAGATTTGTAAGCATCACAGTAACCCCAGAGGGAAGAACATTCCCAAGTATTCCGCTTAAGTACAACTTTGAGGTACTTAACTTGAGTGTTTTCATTTATTACTCTACATTTATTTGATAGTTCCTTTTTAAATTAAGCTTTTTGACAGTACACATGATATGATAAACTTATGAAATACAGTTAAATGCCAAAGATTGAATCAGGGGGTCCTTAAATTGGCCTTTTAGTTCATGCTGGTTTGAACTATTGAGCCTCCTTGTTTTTACATTGTTACTACACTATGTTTTGGCTGAGAGTCAGTAAGGCACAATGCATCCTGGTACATCTAGCCACTGCCTGTAAAGCCTTATCCTTGGGAACTCAGCTTTGACAGTAAATATATCAAGCACTGGGTAATGTATTTCTTCCATGAACTACATTTACCATAAACACTGATTCGACATTTACATAAAAGGTTTTGAATTTGTCCTTTAAATTTAGCTGAAAAACTTCTGTACTAAGCAGGATTTTAGATACAGGACTTTAGCTTTCAATGGAGTATCCTGCAATTGTTTAAAGGACCTTAAAGTACTAGCGGTATGTCTGAACACTTGGCAACAACCAAACAAACATAAATCATTAAGCTTCGTCTACAGAGGCTAACCCAGGCGGCACACATCTGGAAATATATATAAAGATGAGAGGGTCCTAATGGGAAACACATTAGTAGCACAATGTTATGCTTCCTTTTGGAAAGTCATGCCACCCCCTAAATCCCAAGAAACCTGAGAGCTATAATCACTTTTGAATGTCTCTCCTAAGGGACTGTTGGGCAGGGACATGTGGAAAACAGTATTAGGACTGAGAGATGAAGGTTAATAATAGGCAACATTTGTGAAATGTGTCCAGTCAGATAATAACGTTTGCGAAAACCGACCACAGTATGGAGAGTTATTGCATAACAAGTTTACCTCCTCACCTAAAAGCAGAATCATTTTGTATGTGAATTTCACTTTAAACACTTTTGGCAAACTGTAGCCTCACCACAAGTTATGCTCTGCCATGATGCACTACTAGATCAATGGCCTTCAATAGGGGTCCGTGGCCCCATTTTCTTTTTTTATTTAACATGTATGAAAATACACATTACAGTAATACGAAAATAACATACTATTAGCAATGATACATTGAGCATTTCATTCACACAAAACTGTTAACTGGTAACTAATTATTACCCATGAATCCCCATGCAATATAGCTATACGTAGCTAGCCAATGCTAAATCTGTGTGGCATCTACAGTATCAACTGCTACATATTATCATTTAAAAAACTTAGCAATGTATATAAAAGAAAGCCAGGATAGTTTCCTTTTTCTGAGCTAAGCTAACTGACATATATTCCCAACATTTGGTTTGAATTAAAAACATCTAGAGATGATAACGTCTTCTACCTTGCACAGCATTTAAGGGTTGAGAATCCAAGGTAAATATAATGCTGAAGGTGTCTATGGACTCAAAATGCTATTGGACTGAGAGAGGCCGAAAGTGAGGACAGTCATTAATCAAGCAGAAGAATGTCAAACAATGCAACAGGAACTGGAACAGTCGACAGCAAAGAAAGGAAGGAGACCGAGAGCATGCCAAGCAGGAAGTGGAGGTAAACGCATTGCTTCATCTGTGCAACCGCCACAGTCAGAATTGATGTTGACATACAGCTGGCGAGATTAGAGCTCTCCTAGCTAAATGGATTCTTATTGCTCTCATTTGCTTTGGTGTTGTGACATGTACACTCCTCACCCACAACCCTTAAGATGATTCAGCCCGCCACACGCTGCTTTGCTAGTGATTACTTCCAGATACCGTCTGGAAAAGCCCACAGGATTGATTCCAGTCCAAATGGTCTTTCAAAGAGTATTCACTGGTGTAGAGCATAGTGTAGAGTTACCAGAAATTACTCATATGTGCTGTTGTGTGTGTGCTCATCTACAAAATATGCAGAAAATGTTGCCACAATTGTTGGAAGCCAAATGATGTGGGCAAATAAAAAGCCTTTCACATGCTGATAAAACTGAACAGGCCGTAGAGGGACGTGTAAGTTTACAATTCATAGTTTCGTTCATTTAAGCGTATGTGTTTCCATTATTTATGACTTGCATTACCTGAGGGTTCGATAATGAGAGAGGCTCCAATGAAATGATCACAACAACTGGGAGGGAGTGAATAAAGTGTTGACAGCACTTGTGACTTGTATAGTTTCCATTCATCATTGTACATTTGTTTCTCTAAACCCTCCCATCTTTTTTGTACTGCTAACTACTTTTATATCTTCTTGTGGACAGACCCAGCAGCTTTCTCTGTTTCTATGATCCAGTTTTCCAGTTCTTTAGATCTTGTATTATGATATATCTTTATCATTGAATGCCTGCCTCCAGCTTGATAAAGGCTGGCGGACTGTGCAAACATCATGGACGATTTATTGATCTTCAATCAAGATATCTATTAATCTCAGACAACTTTACAGCTTTCCATAAACCTGCAGTTTGCTGAGACAGACCTTTAAATAGAACAGGAGTAGAATATAATAATAGAGACATTACTGGAGTCTGTGTGTATCTGCCTTGCAGGAGGTCGGACAGGCAGCTCGGACAGGGCGGCTCCGCAGGAGAAGGAGCTGCTGGACTCAACAGGCCATCTTTCCACACCTGTACAACACAAACACCACAACCATTACAAACAAGAACGTATTTCCTCAGGAGAAATGAATGCAGCCGTCTGTTATTAAGCCTCACCAGTGTGTCTGCAGACGGGAGGATGGTGTAGCTGTCGTGCGGTTGCAGAGGCCTCTGCTGAGCTTCACTGTGGGAAAGCAGCGACTGCGGCGGCCGGCTGTCTGACCTGAACATCTGCTTCTCAACTTTCCCCGCTCCTGCTCTGGCATCAGAGCTCAGCTTGCGGACGGGATTGGTGAGCCATTTCTTCAGGGCGCTGACAGGGTACCGAGATGCTGCAGACGGGGAGTGTGAGCAGGGGCTGGAGCTGCCGGAGGCCTGCAGGGGCACCGGGCCCCCTGATGGAGTGATACTGCCGCTGCTGCCCGCCACAGAGTAGGACTCTGCTGCAGAGAGAGAGAGGAAGAGGGAAAATGATCGGGTTAATACAGCGGCTAATTGTGGGGAACATCCTCTCAGGTCAGATGCTGCAGACAGATTTCAGCACAAAAATGTTGGTCAATTTCCTGTGTTAATCCCCAACTGTAACTTTAGTAGCTTCCGCTACTGTACCTACCAGTCCTAAATTATTATAAACACATCTGTTCTCACGAGGAAGTTTAAATGGAGATTATATAATGCAGTTTGACTGGATTCATTTGTTAGACATTGTACTCATCTGTTGACTTACTGACCAATGGAGAGTAGTTCAAGGTTCATTAAATTATAATAGTAGGTTTGTTAAGGAATTGTCACATACTCTATAGATAATCTGTTAAACCTGTACATACAGAGTTAAACAGTTGTGTGTAAATATTTAGACATAATAACATACAAATATAGATATAGATATATAGTAGTCTGCAAAGGGGACTATCCAAATAAAGTGTTTTCAAACCAGAAAAGTGGTTTAATCTACAAAAAGGTTAATCACTGTTTGGTGTATAGTCTTTGAAGCAGTTTTACTCACTACTAGAAACAATGATGGAGTAAAGAGGCAGAACTGAACATTTTCAAGTTTCTTTGTGATACACTGAGACAAACATTATCTGCATTTCTAGAAGAGGCGCACTTCAAAGAAAAGCCGTGAATCTAATTAGGAAATTAAAGCTGGAACACCAATCTAACAAAATTAAGTCCATCATGTCTTCAGATAAGTGCTCTCTCATTCAATAACTCAGGCCAGACCAACACTGAAGCTGACACTCTTTTTATGCCACAGCTGGATTCTGTTTCCAGCTTTAAGATGATGGAAACTGGTACCACACTGTCTTAATCAAGCAACCTAACATTAACATTTCACTCTGTTCTGCTGATCGTAGCAAAGTGGAATCTTTCAGGAGTCTCATTTTGGACTTTTCCCAGAATCCACTATTACCCGTCAGCACATTTATGTAAGCTGTAATCATAATAACAGGCTTTCAAGAAGCCAGTGGAAATCTAGGTCAGCCATTTGCCAAAAACGTCCAGATACTGCCATTAAACACAATGCAATAATGACATTAAAATACTTAATAATAGCTTAATTTCAGTTCTCCTTTTATTTCACAATGTCCTGCAAAATCTTGCCTAAAAAAAGATGCTAAGACTACTGTTCATTACATTGGTGATGATCAGTAGTCTTAGCATCTTTTTATTTTATTTGCTAAGTATATTTGTCATGCTAATATGCTCACTGTCATCCAAAAGTTGAGTTTTCTACAACAATAAGCAGACGCAGTGTGTGTGTGTGTGTGTGTGTGTGTGTGTGTGTGTGTGTGTGTGTGTGTGTGTGTGTGTGTGTGTGTGTGTGTGCGCGCGCTGAGGTTTGAACCAATGAGAAAGTGTGCTTTTATTCTACACCAATATTATCAAAAGTCGTGCAGACCAGTTTTGATTTTGTCTTTATATCTCTTCATTTATTAATTATTTTAGGTTTTCTAAAAATTTTGTTTTTTCTTTTTTTTTTACAATAAAAATGGTTTTCTTTGGTATATTTTCACTTTTATATTTATTCTTTTATCAACACCCTTTAATATTTTTCACATTTAGTATCTTATTCTTTTACATCTATGTTGTTTTTTAGCCCTGTTATGACTCCATAATAGAGGACCACTAACAACCACTCTACCATCTGTTGAATTGATACAAAAGGTGCACCTTAGTGCAGGTTTTTCAGCGAACACATCAGCCTTTTCTAAGAACTGACGTTAATGGTGTGTAATGGTCATTGTGACGTCTAAACCACTGCTGAGCTAAGCGACTCGGCTCGTCATGTTTGTTTGAGATGCTTATGTAATGTCTTTTTCCCACACAGCGCAACAGCTGGAACACCATCCGGACAGCAGAGAGTCAGCAGTAAGCCTGCAAGCATGCACACTGTGAATGCATCCTCACATGGACGCTTCATGGACATTAGTAATATTATAAATGTTTCCTTATTTATTGAAAGTTATTTATCTCCTTATTCATTTATTATAAAAATGTGTGCATTGTTTTTTTTAGTACTTTTTAAGTCAGTAGTTTTTCTTTAGCAGGGATGAAGGAAAGTAATCTAGCTTTACTTTGTTCATCGCTCTAATTTCCAACTTTCCACTTTTCTATTAATATGGTTAATTTACTGACCAATAATAAAAGCAGCGAATGAGCTAGTTGTGCAGGAATTCACTTCTGACACATCTGTTCTCGAAATGCATGTTTTTTTTTAACATATCTGTTTTTTTAACATATCTGGTGAAACAATTAAAGCTTCTTGAAGTTATCAAAAATAGGTCCAGCAATGTCCTTCTTTCTTGAAAACTGACTAAGTATGATCTACTCTCTCTTATTAAGGTGCTGCTCACACGGGAACGTTTGCGTTTATGCACAGTATGCGTTTTAAAAAGTCTTCCGTTCACACGTATTCGTTTCATTTGACGTGTCTGTTCACACCAGAACGCTGGAAACGCTGTAGTACATATGCCGGGACTGTAAGTGGCACTGTACTTCCACACGAGACCGCTCGAAAGCGCTGGACACGCTGTAGTACCTATGCCGGGCCTGTAACTGGCGCTGTAACTTCCGCCACAGAATACACCAAAAGCAGCGAGTATAAGATCCCCCCCGGATGGTTATGGCTAGAAAGGATCCGTCTTGTGTAAAACTCTCGCGAGAGTTTGGCTGAATGTCACGTGGCTGAATGTTTACGTTTGGCAGGCAGCCTTTCAGTTACGATCGTTAACATCAGTGGGCCACAGCAAATGATGATGAGAAGCTAAACTATCTATTAATTATGTCAATTACAGGGAGTGTGATTGTTGAAATAGGGTGTTAGCGGTCTAGCTGGTGTTCAAAGAAGAATGACAACACTGTAGATCACCAACACTATGGTTTATTTTTAATTCACAGGCAAATCAACGTTGTCGCAGTAAAAGTCCCAAGATAGTTCCTGGTGCAATAAAATGTTCACTTGCAGTGTTTTACTATTATGTCTGATGTTTCTCTATTAATATTGCTGCTGCATTAATGTGTATGTTGCATCATGCTACTTCTGTAGATGTGTTTCCGAGCCGCTCCGATTACAACGAGAGTTACAACGAGAACGTGACGTCATATTTACACTAGACGGATCCTTTCTAGCCATAACCCCCCCGGATGTGTGAGGCACAAACAAAACAAACAAACAAGGTAGAAGATGGCTGCTATTCGTACAAGAAAGGAGCTATTTTCGTGGACTGACGATGAGGTAGAACTTCTGCTACATGTCACACTAGACTACAAAACTACCAAACTACAGGAGAATCTTGACTGGGAGTCCTGCAAGCCAAAATATAGCGAGATAGGGGACTTATTTCAGGCGCAATATCCGAGGACCCCGACAGAGAAAGATTTCCCTCACGACAAGGGCTCCATTACACAGGGCCAGCTTACAGCGAAGCTAAAGCAAATTCGTATTAAGTACAGGCAGGCGGTGGACCTTGGGCGTCGGAGTGGCCAAGGACGTGTTGTGTACATGTTCTTCGAGCTGTGTGAACAGATCTGGGGTGGCTCGCCTGCTAAGCACCCCCATAGCTCCGGCGTCGAGACAGGGGACTTGCTCGACTTGGAAGAGTCGTCGCCCGTACCAAGTTCATCCCCGAGTTTGGAGCGTTCCAGCGATTCGCCAGAGTCGAGTGAATCCAACGGAAGTCTGTCAACTGCTGCGGTCGTAAGGCATCGCAGGGATCTGCTCCAGGTATGTTCATGATTTCAAGCTTAACGGACTTGCTATATACTATGATGCAGTACCTTCCACAGAAAAACTGAACCTGTTTTTAAGCTTGGTAAAATTAGAAAGTATTGAGAGCTATTTCACAACATGCCTTTGGTCTTATGTTATCTGGTAATACAAACATTCTCTGGTTTATTATAGGCACAGCTGAATGGCCACAGAAGTGACCGCAGGAAGAGAAAACTTCCAGCTGAACATGCAGTGCAGGAAGACCTCAAAATAAAAAAGAGGATGTTGGACCTAATGGAGCAAACATCCAGCCGCAATGCAGCCAACATGGATCGGATGAATAACACCATGGACAACATTAACAGCACTATTCAGGGTGGCCTTTCCCTGATCAGGGAATTAATGCATGCACCCCCCCACAGTAGCAGCAGTGGATATGGACACTTCCAGGAGCCCTCATCCCCATTCATTCCTAGAAGGCCACATCCAGCTACACTGGACTACACACCAAGAGCAATTATTATTTTGTAGCTAGCAAAGGTGTTTTTTTTCCTTTTACTGTGTACACTTTGTAGCTCTTACAATAAATAATGTTCTTAATAAAAACCTTGCAAACAATAACTGTCTTGTCTTTAAGGGTCAATGTACTCCGCAAGCACTCTCTTTCCTTCTTTCTCATTACAGTCAGTGAGATATCTCAAAAATACTGTGGTCACTACCGAAACACTGGATGTTTTGTAAAAAATAAAGTACATTGAGTTATCAACTAAAATGATATGATAGTGATTGGTTTAATGTATGTTCAATTTCAACAATCATCAACTCTGGAATCAATATGATCAGTATTATGCATTTTACAAAGAAAGTTTGCATTATGATTTTTATCAATTGTATAAATTGAACTTTCAAATTTGATAAATTAGCTTATATTAATTTAATTGTGAAAACCCTCAAATATTTGTTAAAATACTATTTAGAGAAGGGAAGGTAAAACAATCTTAACAGGTTAATATAATACTTTTTTGTATGCACTATGTTTCGCTAGTGACCATTTTTGGTAGAGGAAGAACATTCCAATACAGTCTGAAAATACGATATCAAAATGTACGGTTCTTTTACTAGATATGTGTAATTTAGATATGGTAGAAAATATATATGGACCAGAACATTTAAAGTTCATGTGACAAAGTGTATATATATATATATACTGTCTGCGTATGCACATTTGTTGCACTTTATGTTCAAAGAAAGTCTGGAAGTGGTTGCAGCCAATTTAATTTTCATTTCACACTTTGAACATTGGAGAATCACATATTTATTTGCTTAGTGTTACATATGTTACATGCATTAGAAAGTACTAAAAAAAGTTATGATATAATACAAACTATCCTGTAACAGTCCTTAGGATTTATCAGCCAGGTATATGTATATTGTACAGCAGGGCTGCAGCAGCCTGTTGCTGAAGGACAGGGAATGTAACAAAGAATGCACCGTAGATGTAGCACTAACATCTGTATCATGGTCAGTAGTGTCTGGAGCACAGCAGCAACCCTGTGATGCGCAATTGTTGTTGTTGGCGAAACGCATCAGCAATGAAGCGGGGGTGAGCAGGAGAGGCGCATTCGTACATTTGTACAGTGTCATCCTCCGTGAATATTATGTAATACTTTGCTGCTTGTAATCGAATCATCCCGGGTACAATTATTATGGTAACTGTGGTTTCAGTATAACAGACCTACTACCTAGATGATCAGGATGATTTATTCAAAAATGATTAGTCTAACTATTCAAGGTGACTACGATGTCAAATAGTTCTCCTAAATCTCGGGTAAATGGTGCTCTTGTTTTGCCCAACCTAGAACGTATCAAAGAGAACGCATATTCGGGAAAGTAAATGTGCTCCGGCATTGTTTTGCTATCTTTGCCTGGGTGTTTGCTATTGCCCAGGGGTCCACCTATCTAAAACGTTTGCTTTTGCGAGACCCCCCAGGTTGCCGAGGCACCATAGCGGAGGAGATGCTATTAAAGGACTTTTTTATTGNACACAGGTATGATCCTAAGTTAAAAACATAAGGTTATCATGAGGTTGTTAACATCGTAGTTTATCAGTGGATGTTTGCTGGAACTACTTGTTAACAGCTTGTTTCCTGACGGACACACACAGCGTGACTCCGGTCAGGTAGAGACCGGTCTCAAGTCAGCACCGCTGCAGACTCGCTGTTTGAGGGCTTGATAGCCTACTCCCCCTCCACACCGCTCCACACTCGTTGCTTTGGAACAGCCCTCAATATGGCGGACCCTCCGCGTGAACGCGCAAACGGAGGGGTAGGGTGTAGGGGGCGGTTTGGGAATGGGCTGTAGTGGCAATTTCTTATGTTACCTTATATGGTAAAACCATAAAACCAAATGCTTCTGAAAGCATTGTCTAACACTACTGTACCATTTCTTCATATTTGCTGTT